GCTTGGCGTGGTGTTGAAAACAACGTTGTCCAGTGTGAGAGGAACGACTCGCATCACCGAGGTCCAGGGATCAATTCCACGGACTATCTAGAGACTTGCTAAAACACGAGAGTCACGAGAAAAGTGAGTCAAAACGAACTCAAATATCTGTTACGCACGTAAAAAAAAAACTTTTAGGCTACATAAACTGCGTGATGCTAGCATTATTATTATCAATATAATCAAAAAGAAGCGCTAAGCCACAAGGGCTATACAGCTAGCAGACAACAGCCTTTCCCGTTACTCTTGCAGTTAACAACAGCCTTTGATGTCACTCTGCCCAGTTTACCTCATGCGCCTTTTCCCTCTTCGACTACTTTCTAAACCCAGTACTGTCGATGGTGTTCGCGTCTTGGAAAGGACCACGACCAGCAATTTTTGCAACCATTACCACATTACTGCTTTCCCCCATTCAGATGGGTCCACAGCTCATCGGTCGAGTGAGCGACCTTGACCTGACCTGGGACAAGGAGTTGGCCTCCTCCTCCACACGCCTCAGCCCCTACATTGACCTCGACGTAGAGCACAAGAGCGTCCTAAGAGCCCTCAATACATTCAACTTCGTCCAGATGAAACGTAAGTCGATTTTCTGTTCTGCTGTTAAGGTACTGTGGTCTATCTGGTCTCTGTCATGCAGCTAAATTATTATTATTATTATTATTATATTTATGCAGCGCCTGTGGGGGGAGGGGGGAAGGCATTCGGACTCAATTCAGGGAACTGGAGCACAGATCCAGTTCTCTAGATCAAGAGCCTCCCCCTCACCCGCATCAAGGAACCTCCCTTGAGGAGTCATGCAGCTAGAGGTTGATCTTGCTGTATCTGGTTACTGTCATGCATCTGCGATCCATCTTGCTGTCCTGTCGACATTAAATTTTAAATGGCATGAAGCGGAGGTAGTTGGGAAATGAATTACTCGTGATATATTCAGTAAACCGTCGAAAAACACGTTAGTTTTATTACTGAAAATGGTAAGTTACACCAATTCGCGTTAAACGAAATAAATAACATGCAGGAAAAACAGAGTTACGTTTTTTAAACCTCCAGAAAAACCAAACTAGTTTGTTAAGGTTCTGTAATTCGTCAAAAGTGATAAAGGTTTCTATTTTTCTCATTGCAATCGTCGTTCCTGATGATTTGGCGATGTTTAGAGGGGGTTAATATGGCCCTGTACAGTATGTATGTGGCAGGGAGAATCAGCTATCACTATCAGCTACCACCACCACCTATCACCACCATTACTTGTCACCCCCATCACCCACCACCACCTGGAGACTCACCACACCTTTAGCAAATAATGCATTCGAGAAAGAAATAACTGGTAAAATTGTGAGAAATTGTTCTTGTTGGTTATTAAGGGCGACGACTCCATGAGCTGTATGAGCAGGAACAATACGAACCATACCACGGGCGGGGTTAGAAGAACCCGTGATCAGTGAGTCTCAAAACTCCAGACCGTCGCGTTAGCCACTGGGTCAGCTAGCCACAATAAGATTCATCCAACTAGGTATATTTATACACAATAGGAAGGTTAGCATAGGCACTACTGTGACCACAAATGCAAGGTTTTACAGATGAATCTCCAGCTAGCGTGTCCGTGACAAACTCTAGCTCAAGCCCCCTCTTGATCGCGGTTCTAAACCAAACCCTTGGTAACTGGTAGTCAATTACGCTTAAATGTGAGTCATGTGTAGGACATCAATTACGTATACCTGTGGTGCCTCACTACAATTTCGGGTAATACAGCTGTGATATTATTATTAACTTGGGTTAAGTAAATAGCTGCTAATAAACATAGGAATAGTGTAGTTACAATAAAATATGAGTCACCAGCTTGGATGCTATCACTAGTATATTCCCTATAATTTACACGTGCTGCATATCATACCTCACTTCTATTCGTTATAATAGGGTTCAATTAATTCAGTCGTGTTTTAATGGAAATATGTTCCTGAATATGCGTTATTCAAACTATCATTAATATTTATATAGATATTATATTATATATGTATTATATATATATATCTATATATATTTATTATATTAATATATATTATATTGTTATTCATTATTTAATTTAACTTCAAGTTTTGTGGCTCACGCCACAGCTTGCCTGACGCGGAGCGCGAGTCTGCTGAGGACCGCGAGGTATCTCACGAACTTTGCCTAGTAATAGGTTGTTCTAGATTTCTTCTGAGTTTTGTAGGTTGTATTTTTCCTTTTCATTTTTTCTTTATTCAAAATTTTATGTTTTGATTTCTTATTTCAGTTTTTTTTCCCTCGTTGAGCATGCGCGCCTGACGTCTGCCTGAGGTCTGCCTGAGGCCTGCCTGAGGTCTGCCTGAGGTCTGCCTGAGGCCTGTGGCCTGGTTGCTAGGGTGCCTGCCTGAGGTCTGCCTGAGGCCTGTCCTGAGGTCTGCCTGAGGTCTGCCTGAGGCCTGCCTGAGGCCTGCCTGAGGCCTGCCTGAGGTCTGCCTGAGGTCTGCCTGAGGTCTGCCTGAGGTCTGCCTGAGGTCTGCCTGAGGTCTGCCTGAGGTCTGCCTGAGGTCTGCCTGAGGTCTGCCTGAGGCCTGCCTGAGGTCTGCCTGAGGTCTGCCTGAGGTCTGCCTGAGGCCTGCCTGAGGCCTGCCTGAGGTCTGCCTGAGGTCTGCCTGAGGCCTGCCTGAGGCCTGCCTGAGGTCTGCCTGAGGTCTGCCTGAGGTCTGCCTGAGGCCTGCCTGAGGTCTGCCTGAGGTCTGCCTGAGGCCTGCCTGAGGTCCTGCCTGAGGTCTGCCTGAGGTCTGCCTGAGGCTGCCTGAGGCCTGCCTGAGGTCTGCCTGAGGTCTGCCTGAGGCCTGCCTGAGGCTGCCTGAGGTCTGCCTGTGGAGGTCTGCTGAGGTCTGCCTGAGGTCTGCCTGAGGCATGCCTGAGGTCTGCCTGAGCCCTGCCTGAGGCCTGCCTGAGGTCTGCCTGAGGTCTGCCTGAGGCCTGCCTGAGGTCTGCCTGAGGCCTGCCTGAGGCCTGCCTGAGGTCTGCCTAAAGCCTGCAGGTGTTGTTAAGAGAATATTTTTATTTTCTTTGGTATTTATTCATGTAGTGCACATGAGCCTGTTGTGTTGTTTGTTTTGTTGTATTGGTATTGTTGGTGTTATACCTGTGACTAGTTCCCAGGATTCTTCCTCTTCCCTCGCCGTTCTGTTTTATTATTCCCCCCATTAAACCTTGTTAACTGTCTCACAATGTGGATTTCTTGACTTCAACCATTATGAAAATGCAAGTGCAACGTGCAGAACAAATGTACCTTACTGTCTACTTGCAGGGTAATTGTAACAAGCAGTTTACAAAAAAAAAATATTTCCAACAATTTGCGAGGCTAGTGGAAACCTGATACCCTGACATAGTTAACCCAAATAACATTTTGTTCAATTATATATTATATTATATATATATTATATTATATATTATATATATATATATATATATATATATTATATATATATATGATTGTGTGTGTGTGTGTGTGTATTGAATATTCTCCAGCTACACGTTCCAACTTAAAGATAACAAACTTCCCCTACAATAAGACTTTCCTGCAAACAAGTTTCCTCGCGCTGGCGGTGAGCCAGACACCACACACCAACACACACACACACACACACACACACACACACGTGTTTAGCCATTCTATAGAGCATGGAAATCCCCTGCCACTTGATCAATCACTAGCTGGTCGGATTTGTAATCGAATCCTTACCTTAGTTTGTCTCAACATTGCAAGCTCCTGACGAATGAGTGTTGATTTAGAAACACGAGGGCATATTATCTACAAAACTCCCCGTGATTGGTTTGCATTCTGTATCGCGTGTTCGCGGATTACTGCATAAAAGGTCGGACCTTTGAACACCATCAGTGTAGGGTGTGGACATGTACCTCTCAGAACATCACATTAATTGTATCATTCATTGTTGCGCAGTGAACATAGTCAACTCGATCCAGTCATTAGCTTAACCAGTGAGTTGATTTAGCCAGCGGGAGTCGACCTAGTTAGGTTAATGTTGTTTTATGACTGGATGTTGCATGGCACATATGAGCGGCGCTGCCGTATCGTTTATGGAAGTATCGATATCTCTACCCAGGATAAGGGGCACAGAACACAACTGGTTTACAGAAAAGCAACCTTCCACTGATAAGATGCAGTGCACTGAACAACGTTAGCCTTAAGAGGTCGCGTACTGTTCATTCTCGTGGGTATTGTTTCGAGTCCCAACCATCTCGCGACTTCTAACATCTGACGACTATGTTTGCTTCTCTGGCGAGAAGCTGAACTATATACAGTCACGATGGTATACAGATGCTCTGTAATGACTTATCTGGTGAGCAAGCACCTGAAGACATAGAGTATGGTAATGTCTTTAATACTTGGCTTATTCGATTTCTTCGATATAGCGGGATTATAAGAATTCATCTACGGCGTATGTTTGTTTTGCTTCAGCGGTAATGTGTCACCGCCGCCAAGCTGATATCCAGCTGGATGACACAAAACTCAGACTTGATTAGGAGGTCCTAGGATCAAATTCTACTACTCTTGTCAAAGATACCTTCACTATATGGTCTAGCGCTTGCTTGAATATCTATAATATATGGGTAAATGAACAGAATGCAGGAACGTTGGATTCAGTAAATCGACGTTTAGTGTGTGGATCCGAGTGAGAGCGTTGAAAATATACTGATCAAAAAATTACCAAAAGACTCTGATGAGCATACATTTTTAAATTCATATGGAAAGTGCTTAACTGTTGGTTAATGTGATTTTCAGCAATTAGGTGGTTAAAGAATTCAGTCTCTGTCCTGTTTGTTAGACGACGTAAGCTTGGTGGTCCCTGTGAAACAGACGCTAGCTGGTGGTCCTTGATTAGAGGACGCTAGGCTTGCTAGTCCTGTAAGAGACCCATTGGCTTGGTGTCTTGAGAAACGCTAGGCTGGTGAACTGTAAAGACGACTAGGACTGTTGTTGGTCCTGGGATGAGACGCTAGGCTTGGTGTCACTGATGAGAGACTAACTCTGAGGCTTGGTGGTCTGAGTGAGAAAGCTAGTGTTTGTGTCCTGTGAAAGACGCTAGGCTTTGTGGTCCTGTGAGAGACGCTAGGCTTGGTGGTCCTGTGAGAGACGCTAGGCTTGGTGGTCCTGTGAAGACGCTAGGCTTGGTGGTCCTGTGAGAGACGCAAGGCTTGGTGGTCCTGTGAAAGACGCTAGGCTTTGTGGTCCTGTGAAGACGCTAGGCTTGGTGGTCCTGTGAGAGACGCAAGGCTTGGTGGTCCTGTGAGAGACGCTAGGCTTGGTGGTCCTGTGAAAGACGCTAGGCTTGGTGGTCTGGAGAGACGCAGGCTTGGTGTGTCCTGGTGCAGGTGTAGTCAGCGATTGTAAATGAGAGCAGATTAATGATGTGTCAAGCCCATTTCTTAAGTCTGTTTTTCTGTAATGATAGTTGGTACCTAGAGAGAAGTTTATCGTTTATGGAGGACGCTGAAGCCATTGGTGGCTCATTTGAGACCTCGCTTGGTGGTTTGAATGGAGAGTAGGCTTGAGTGCCTGGTTG